GAAAATGAGTTGTATGCAAAGTTGAGTAAATGTGGGTACTGTCTCGAGCAGACTACCATCTAGGGCACATCATATTAAAGGATGAAGTGTCAATGAACCTGAAAAAGTTAAGGCAGTACTTGATTGAGAGAAATTAACATCGGTTAAGGAGATTCATAACTTTCTTGGAATGACAGATTATTATCGTAGGTTTGTAGAAGAATTTTCTATCCAAACTGCTCCTTTAACCTGGCTCACAAAGAAAAATATCAAGTTTGAGTAGAATGAGAACTATGAAATCAGTTTTTCAGAACTAAGAAGTAGTTGACTACTGCACCTGTGTTAGCTTTACCGAATGGAACAGGTAGATACACAATTTATAGTGATACTCCCTACTTGGGGCTGGGTTGTATTCTGATGCAACATGAAAAAGTTATAACCTATAGGTCCAGTCAATTAAAGAGTCATGAAAAAAACTACCACACCCACGACTTAGAACTTACTGTGATTGTCCACGCCTTGAAAACTTGGCGCCATTACTTGTATGGGAAGACTTTTTATATCTATACCGATCGTAAGGGCTTTAAACATATTTTTACTCAAAAGGATCTTAACATGCGTCAGATATGATAGATAGAACTCTTCAAATACTATGATTACAACATTTTGCATCACCTGAGCAAGGGCAATGTGATAGCTGACGCACTTAGTATAAAAAATGCAGGTATGTTAACTGACCTAATGGTCTCAGAATTTAGGGTAATAGAGGCCGGACAATAGATATGACTTCAGGACTTGAAGAGAGTTACATGTTTGGCCCACCTGACTGTTCAACCTGAGTTAATCTAGGGAATAAAGGAAGCTTAATTCGCTAATCTCACCCTAGCAGCTTTCAGGAAAGATGCAGAACATAGAGTAAATTCATAATTTTGAGTATCTGTTAATGGGTTACTCAAATTTTAGAATAGGGTGTGTGTTTTATATGACAGCGAGCTAAAAAGGGATATCATGACAGAGGCTCATAGCTCAAAGTTTGTATTAAAGTATACGACCTCAATTTTGGTAGAACATGATGAAAAGAGAGGTAGCCGACTTTGTTTCCAAGTGTCTAGTGTATCAGCAGGTCAAAGCAGAGCATCAGCGCCCAGGCGGCCTACTTCAGCCATTACCGATTTCAGAGTGGAAGTAGGAACACATCACAATGAATTTCGTGATAGGATTACCTAGGGCATGCTCGGGACATGATGTCATTAAGGTAATTATTGATCGGCTCACCAAGTCTTCTCACTTCTTGACCATCAAGATGACCGATCCGTTGAATAAGGTAGCGAGAATGTATATCCGAGAGATAGTCAGATTACATGGAGTGCCGGTGACAGTAGTATCTGACAGGAACCCCAGGTTCACTTCTCGGTTCTGTTCTAGTTTTCAACAAGTCATGTGAACAAAACTGTCTCTTAGTACCGCATTCCACCCTTAAACCGATAGACAATCAGAAATGATGATCTGCACACTGGAGGATATGCTTCGAGCTTGTGTTTTGGACTTCGGGGGTCATTGGAATGATCATTTATCCTTAATAGAGTTCGCCTATAATAACAGCTACCAAACAAGTATCAGCACAGCTCCATATGATGCATTATATGGTTGCCAATACAGATAATCGATCTGTTGCGAAGAAGTGGGTGATAAAAAATTGTTCGGCCCAAATCTTATGAAGGAGACTACAACTAAAATAGTTAAGATTAAGAAGAACATCCAGACAGCTCAGAGCATGCATAAGAGTTATGTGAACACTCAGCGGAGAGATTTGAAATTTGATAAA